CTAGAGATTTTTCTTAGTGTTCTCCAAATCCTTGCGATTAGTCGAGATGTGCACAAGCTGACCTGAACACCCACAAAGCATTACAGTGTCTGATGTAACATGGTATGGTATGATATGGCATGGCATGAGTGAGAGTGGAAGTGTGTGACCACTAGGATTTGTTTATAGAGGAGAAAAGAAAATGAAGCTTTGTAGAAAAGGAAGCAGACTTTATTAAAAGCCACAACAATCTTTATTATTGTGATTTTATGTGGGATGGTTTCTCCCACACATTCAAATCTAATGTGTGTTTTGGGACTCTATTTACAACCTCAATACCCTACCACTCATACCATCAATAATGCCCCAAACAATCTAAGGCCCCTTCACCCTCTTTAAAGCAACTACTTGTCTCTTCATTTGTCTTATTTATAGTTTTTTTTTATTCATACGTTATATTATTTCTATCTCAGTAAGATATGAAATAATGAAGCTAAGTATTTATCTGTTGAATTGTTTGTCTGTGTTTTGTTTCTACAGAAAGGGGGTTTACGATTTGTTAGGTATAGCATCAACAAAACAACTTCGTCCTTTTAATGAATTATTAGTACTGGCTTTTCACGTTAATTACCAACCATTCCCTGCAAAGTTTTTCCCATTGTCTTGGATTTTTCTTTCTTTCCACATTCAACTTTTGAGCAAGCAATTAACCAGGAGTTGCGGAAGAGGACCACACCCTCAATATACCTTTTTCTTTTTAATATTCGTTCTTCTTGGCACCTTTAATTAAACTGAATCAACCGGGTAATACAAAGATGTTATATTTACATGAATCATGTATATCGAAGTCTTTTGACTAGCGAACAAGTCTTCCAAAGAATACCACAAGGGTGGTGTCTGATTGGTTTGAGCTTGAGCTCCAAAAGTCAAAAGTGTTTAGAGGTCCCAGTTTCAAATCCAAGGAGGAATAAAAATCCTTTTATAGCCATGAAGGTTCAAATGTGGTGACCCTGGGCTACCCACAAAGCAGGTGGTCGCCCTGGGATTAGTCGACTCACGTAGCAAGTTGGATATCCAGGTTAATAAAAAAAATGTCTTCCAAAGAAGTTAATAATAACACATGTGATTCTGTCTCCTTTAAAATAGAAAAAAAGAATCAAGATTTTGAAGTGTTTAGACTTTTTTTTTCCTTCATCAGCTTCTCCAAAATGTAGAAAAGAGGGTGAAATTTTCTACAAATCCGAAGAAACCTGTAACATTAAATGGAGATAATGGCTTCTTTATTTGTTCCAAGAAAAGTTTCCTATACTGTATATTGAGGTGACAAATATTCATCTGATTTTGAATTAGACTCGTCATGTTTTCTAGCATGACCATAATTCACAATAATTCTTGTGTAATTGGCCAGTATCTTTCGATATATCAGATACCATGGTCACTAGAAAATAATTACATATTCGATGACATTTTCTCTCATATCTTTTCAATTTCTTTCAAGAGTTTGCTATTACTACAAATATTTTATCTATCGAAGAGTTAACTCTTAAAGTACGCACAACAACCAACTTAGAAAAACGATCAAACAATTTCTAAACTCGAATGACATGGTAGTAAAGATTCAAGAAGCGAAAACACAGTCACAGTCACACGTATTTGTGCATGTGTGTGTGCGCACGTGTGCACATTTATCTGAGTCAGAAAAGGAGGAATATGTGGTACATAAAAAGCTCATAAAACAATGATAGAAGAACGTGTGGTACATAAAATATCCTAAACACGAAATGACATGGAACAGTATACCGAGAAATAGAAATCACCAATTAAAACCCAAATTCCTGTTGGTATTTTTTAACTTAACACCTAAGAAAATTGAGATTTAATCAACGTGTCACATTTATATAATTCATGTGCGCCCCCACATACATAAAAATCCATTGGGGGGGCAGATTTCTATGTGGATACAAATTATAGGCAGCACACGAAGCCTTCACAAAGATCAATTTTACACGTTTTGTTTTGTAAGCCTTTGTATTCCATTTTGTTTATTAATATCATAACATATATTTCTCTCCATTTTATATGAGATATTGTTTGATTTATATAATACTGATTTTGTAATTTATGTGTGTTTGACACAGAGTTAAATTAAACTTGAAACAAAAACAAATGAAAACTAAAAGTAAACCGAATCATCGAAGAATTACATCATTGTATAAGTTGCAACTTAAAGCCTACATGAAGTTGCTTTTGCATGGTTAATCATATATGATTAATTAAACACATAGATTCACCAAGTCATCCGCATCTCCTTTGGGTATATTTAATCATATATGATATTGAAACTTCTCGCCTTAGATTTACTTCTCGCATTATTAACCCCTCTCTCTCTCTCTCTCTCTCTATATATATATATATATATATATATTCATTCTTCTTTCTTTAAAGAACATCTTGAAATGATTTCGAACACGTATTCTTTCATCTCCACGTCTTTAGAGTTGATGTTTCGTTCATATGCAGCTACTTTTGGCCGAAAAATTGGGATAATAATGAAGGAATGATCATTGAAATGAAGTCTCTTTTTGCGTAAGAGGGTGAAGGTGAAAGTAAGCCTATACATATGTGTATATATATATGTATGTGTATCTATATATATATTGAGAGAGAGAGAGAGTTTTGAGAGAGATGGATGGATGTGTTGGTGGAAATGTAACAGCAACAAGACAAGTGTAAATGGAATTACTTTAAAGTTAGACCAATAATTGAAGATCCAATCAAACTATATATTATATATACAAGAACAAAGTATATATCGACTTTAAACCACCAACACGTGTCCCTCTCTTACACTATATCAGGTTTTACACTTTCGCATCATCCAAATCTAACAAATTATACAAACTAATTTTAATCGTTCATCTAGTCTAATAAATATTTGATTTTATTTTGTTTCTTAATCTAAAATCTTAATCATAATGAATGAACTTATCATCTCTCTCATATATATATATATATATATATATATAATTAAGAAAAAACCCACGATCACATGTGATTTTAAAGCAAAATCACATGTGATTAAGAAACCGGTCAAACCTCTTAGGTCTTTGGATCAAGTGCGTAAAATATCTCCAATTATGCACATAGTTTAAGTTAATGTAGGGAATTTTTGTCTAGAAATTAGTGTATGAAACCATTTTTAGCGTGTTTCGATCTCCAACCATTATTACATTGTTACCTACATATCGTTTTAAAAACTTAGTGTATACTTTAATGGTTGTTATTTATATTTTCTAATTAATTAATATAACAGATAATAATAAAACAATGTAAGTACGTCCCCACATGTGAGATAATGTAAATTAGGGTAGGGAGGCAATGTATGAAATGCATTTGAGTGCTATTTTTTGGCTCTTTGCATTAGTTAATGTTTAGATGTAGTCAGTTCATTAGAGATGTTCTGAGTGTCCTGTGTTATTTGTTCCTTCACATCTGATATACATGTTCTTGTGTTATGTTTTGATCGTCTTCTCGTTTGAATTCAACATATATATTCAGGTTAGAATTAAACTTGTCTATAACAAAAAGACGAACTCTTACAATTCTATCAGAACCAAGAATTTTGGTTGATCGTAACTAAAGGGCAGGCTGAAAATGAATTAAAACCGAAAGGATCAATATCATATGAAACTAGAGGAAATCTAGAATTCGGAAGTCATAAAAGCATTGTTTACACTATAACAAAATTGATGTCTTAGAATATAGCACTTTGTATCAATAACTATATGTGCTATATAAGGATATGGAAAGATTCATTTGACAAGTGGTAAGTATTTGAGAAGTAAAGAAGTGATCTTACTACTTTATCTTGTCAACGTGAAGTATCAGATAATTCCTCACATGGGTATGCAGAATATGGATGGATAGTTTCGTAACTATTACAAATAGGCGGCAAACGGGTTCAAATGTGAACCCGTTAATTAGTTCATATGTGAATCACACGAGTTTATACGTGAATCAGTTAAAATAGTTCATATGTGAATCACTCGGGTTCACATGTCGTCTATTTGTAAAAGTTACGAAACTACCTCATCTATTGTCGCATAGCTAAAATCCTTTACCAGTCAAAGCCGCATTTCTTGAAAATTCAAATCTTATCTTTGACCCTACAAAAGGCTATGATCTATTCTTTACTTTTTAAATATTTACCAATTCTCAAAATAACCTACGACTATAAAAATATTATGTTAAGTTATTATTAAAAACGAAGTAGGGTAATTCAAGAATTTTTATTAGTATGAAACAACTTCAAAAAAGTCGTATTAAACATTACAACGAGACTTAAAACTATAACTGATTATGTTAAGCTTATTATATTACAGTTCTTAAAAGTATCATATAAAATCGAGTTAATAATAAAGTTTTACTTTAGTAACAAAACCAAACCACAAATCTCACAACCAAAACAGAGCCACCACATCAAACTTCATACATTTGTAAAGTTAATGTCTTTTTTTCTTGAGGATGGAAATTTAGGGATCTAGAACAGTTTCATTTAATTTATTGGATAAGATTTTAGTTCATTAAAACGAAATCATATACAACAATCTATCTAGAAATCATTTACCGGTAAAAGTCATTGCTCTCACTTATGAGGTAAGACTCTTGGTTCTTGTTATCGTTCTTATCAAGTAAGATTCTCAATTCTTATCATGTTCATCTGACAACACACAAAGGTAAAGTAACCCAGGAAACACTTATGAGATCGAATAACCTGTTAATACACCAAGAATATATATATATACACACATAAGATTCAAAGTATTTATTCATTTATTTTGTGTAAAAGAAACTAATAACTAAAATAGATACATGATATTATATATATATATATATATTATATATTTGATACACAGTCATCAGAGAAGCTTCAAACAAGTACACTGGCTGCAACTACACACGCACAACAGCACAAGATATAGTGCAATGTAACCTCCTGATCATAATTAACTTTTAATTAACTAATTTTCCCGCCTTAATTCGCTGTAAAACTTCATGATAAACTTCTCCGCCGCCTCATCCACATAGCTATCCTCCTCCCCCATGTTCATCGGAAATGGCGAATCCGTTACCCTCAACTGCCTAACCATCGGACTCTTTCCAAACCCACTCATTGCCGCTGGAGATGCGGTGGCGCTCGTCACCATCTCCAGTGCCTTTATCATCGCCGCATTCACAATTATCTCGTCATGATCATCTCCGGCCGCAGCTGCCGACTTCTTTTGCGAGATCTTTTTGCCATGGTGTTTCTTGAAGAAAGAGAGTGGGTAAGTGGGTGTGTTACTGCAACTGAATTCGTAGTCGTCAGTTCTTGGTGGCGGAGGGATGGTGAAGTCGTGTGAACGGCGGTTGAAGGTGGAAGCCGACGACCAGTTATGGTGGTGGTTGAACATGAGGTTCTGTAAGGCTTTTCCGGCGATCTTGCCACGTTTTATCATCATGTTGAGATCGAGCAATAGTTTTCTTTTGGATACTCCTTTTCTTAGCATGAAGAGCATCAAACGGACCAAACTCCATACTTTCTTTGCAACTACTGGTAGGTTTTGTTCCATTTTGTTTAGTGTTTGATTGAAGACAATGAATTCCGGAGGCCGGAAAGTGGGAGGTGAGAGAGTAGAGAGAGAGATTTGATGGTGGTGTTTGATGGTGGTGTGGAGGAGGAGAAGAGGGGTATTTAAAGGGGAGGTCGTGGTACGTTGGGATGATTCAGAGGGATGAAAATGGGAACTCAGGTGTACCTTCACGTTAAGTTAAAGTCGCCTCCTTTTTTTCTTTCTTTGCCTTTCCATTCCACCCATTTTAAATTAAATGTTTAATTAATATTTAATGTTTTAGGGGCATTTCTGTAATTGTTGAATGGACTGTATTTCGGGCTGTAAATAAACCAAGCATGAACGAACCATTTGTGAACCGTTTAGTGAAAAGTTCATTTATTTAATGAATCATTGAACATAAACATATTTTTTTCCCGTTTAGTTAAATGAACGAACATGAACAATAATTACGTTCATTCATTTATGTTCATGAACATTGTTCTTCGTTTACGTTGGTTTATATTAAATATTTTATGGCATTAATATGTAAAATTTATAAAAATCATTCATTAACATCTTAACGAATGAACATAAACGAACACGAGCAAACAGATTTTTTATTGAACAAACATGAATACAAAAATTTTTATTCGTCTACCGTTCGTGTTCGTTTGTTTGGTTAAGTTAAATGAACAAGTCTCCGTTCGTGTTCATTCGGTTTGTTTTTGAGATTTATGGTTATTTGGTAGCCTATATAGCGTGCTTAGGTTAATAGTGATTACAAGACGTGATTAATATAGATCCAGGTGTAAAATAATTAATTTTTGGTATTCACTAATTATTCAGCTTAATAACCGAACATCAAGTTATCTTAAATCAAACCGACGTGTTTGTATGCCTCATCAATTTTTCAGTCATGTAAGTGAAACCTAAATCCTGGCAAGTATTTACAAGTAATTAGGTAAATTATATATTTAAATGCTTTGATATATCATATTATTTCTGGTAAATAAGTGTCCAGATCGACCAACTTGTACGTTTTATCAGGGCCGTCCATTGGCATGTTAAATGTGAGATTTTGAACGGGGCCCCCGAAATTTTGGGGAACAAAATTTACCTGTGCTTAGGGAGTAAACTATAGCCGAAATTGTTTAGGTTCAAATTATTAATTATTTGGTTTTAGGTTGAAATTATCAATGGTTTAGGCTCAGTTTCAAACTATTAATTGTTTAGGTTGGCCTGTAACATCTCATGACAACCGTACCATATATTGTTTACTTTGTCCACACACCTAGATTCATAGTTTTAAAACTCGTATGATAGAGGAGATATCAAGGCCCTTATAAGACAACTTTTTTACCCTCCGCAACTAATGTGAGATCTTACAATCCACCCTTGTTAGGAGCCTAACGTCCTCGTTGGCACACTAGTATGACTCTGATACCATATGTAACATCTCAGATCAACCGTATCAGATGTTGTCTGCTTTGTCCCACACCTAAACTTACGGTTTTCAAGTGCGCCTGATAGAGGAGGTATCAAGTCTTTTATAAGGCAACCTTTGTTCACCTCCCCAACTAATATGGGATCTTACATAACCCATTTTTGTTCTTAACATATATATTCTCCATTATCTCAGTGATACAATGTAATAAAAAAAATTGGATGTAGCAGGGCATACAAAAAGATTAGAACGTCTCTGCGTCTCATCTAATGATCACGGGGTCCTGAAAATAAAAAGACAGAACAATCTTTAATAACCCTGGGTAAGAAATGTCACATTTTATACACTAAAATCAAGGTTTTATAATACTTACTGACTTTAAAAACTAAGGGACTGTTTACCTAAACACTTACCGGTAAAATTCAACACTACCGCTTCCTTATCAAGCAAGACTTTATTCACTAAAACGCATCGTATACAACAATTTATCCCGGAAAGCGCTAACCATGGTAAGAGTCATCGTCCTTACTTACCGGGTAATACTCTTGATTCATGTCTTCGTTCTTACCGGGTAAGATTATTAGTCATTGGGATATTCATCCGGTAAAGTAAAGTGACTTGGTAAGCGCTTACCGGGGTAAATGTTTGGTAAACAGCACCTAAAACAAACTGTATTATAATTTTAACAGAATTTGGTCTTTTGATTTCATAACAACACAAAAGTTGGAGAATATTTGGATCTTTTCCTTTAAAGTTCCTCATTTAGATCGAAATGACCACACTGGAACAAGTCGAGTTGGATATAATCAGCGTAGACAACCACACGTAAATCGTCCATGAATCATCAACCATGCTTTCAAAAGCTCTATGATATGCAAAAGTCTTTAACAATGAACCAAAACTATTAAAAGCTTCTTTTAGAAAAAAGAACAAATAGTAACGATTTTGATGATAACAACATATCTATCTTAAATGATTTCTTTAAATTTAAAACCAATAACAAACGGCTAAAAGATTATTTGATATATTAATATTCATAAAAAGAAATTAGGACCAAATCTTTGTTGCTAATTAAGACGATCTTTGTTGTAGTGGTTGTAGATTTCGTTCTACAATTAATTAATTAAGGCTTAATTAACCAAACTAAAGCAATAACCACCAAGCGAAAAAGTAAAGTTATAGCTTCTGTTTTCTTGAAAATACCAGCGGTTTTGTGTTTCATATCTCACCAACATACTGATACACATATTATATGTATGTCTGTGTATTTTTCAATGTTCATCTTACAACAACAAGTTCTCGTCATATATGGGCTTTTCAAAGCATATTTCTGTCAAGTAAAATCATGATTTTTTCCAATCATTTCTTAGTTCATCAAAATAAATAAATCTACAAATAATATTTATCCATTACATGTTGATTTGGAAAGATGTTTCGCAAATATGACTGATACAGAAGAATTTAAATGTAAGTGGTTGACACAGCTAAACAAGACACTTTCCAAAGGAAGAACGTGCCAGGAAACACTATATTTCTGTTGGATTTCCGGTGGATATTCTGACCAGTAAAATTGTGGTCGTAAAACACGATTTCTAGTAGTGTGAAGTTGCATAAAATGAAGTCAAGGGATTGCGACTCGTTATGTTAAAAAGTTCAAGGGCATAGGAGCAAGTTATAATTGAAGTGCTTTTCCAAAAATACCCTTCGTATATATCATACTTCTTTTTTCTTTTCCTTTTAATTTTTTACGTAATAATATTCTTTTTGGGTAACCTATGCTATCCGTGTTGGCCTATACACATAGACTAATCTTTTAAGGGACCGATGGTCTAAAGTAATCACAGATCAACTTTTATGACTGTAATGGATGTAGCAATGTTTGGATTATGTGTGGTATCCTTAACGAATGCGTCACAACCCTTAACGGTCGTCATAATAATATTCGAGCATACTTTGTACAAATGAGAGAGCTCCGTTGTTCTTCTTGAATCAAACGTATATCGTTAAATTGAAGACCGGGAATGAAAGAATCATTAAATGATAAGCGTTTTAGTGATATGATTTAACTGAGTCCAAAATTTTATTTTCGAAAAACCATGCATATATATATAAATACAAGAAATTCGAAATATACACCCAATCCCACATTCTCTTACGATTAACTTTTACAAGCTCTATCTAAAAATCACTTGTGATTAACGACGACATAACGGAACAAGAAACTGAAACCAATTGATTGATCATGACGAACCAAACGCCGCTGCTGCCTTGATATTCTGCCGCCGTAAGTCGTTGTAGAACCTGCTTATGAACTGGTCTGCCGCCTCGTCCACATGGTTATCCTCCTCTGCCACGCTACTCAATGGAAACGGAGAGTCGGTTACCCTCAGTTGTCTAACCATCGGACTCCTCCCAAACCCTGGCAGCGCTGGCGATGATAACTCACTGTGAATCATCTCCATGGCTTTCGACACCGCCGCATTGACGGCCATCATGTCAACATCCTCCGCCCTGGATTGGTGGTGGTGGTGTTTCTTGTGAAAGGAAAATAGAGAGAATGGAGCAGCAGCTGGGCTGTTGCTGCAACTGAACTCGTATTCATCTACCGGCGGAATGCAATTATTATTAGAGATAGAGATTTGACGGTGGGAATGATGATGGTCATGTGAGCGGCGGTTGTTGGTGGCGGTGGAGGTGAAAGCAGCCCAGTTGTTGTGGTGGTGGAACATAAGGTTTTGCAAGGCTTTTCCGGCGATCTTGCCACGCTTAATCATCATGTTGAGATCCAGCAATAGTTTTCTCTTGCATATGCTTTTTCGTAACATGAAGTAAACCACACGAACCAAGCTCCAAACTTTCTTGGCTAAAACTGGTAGATTTTGTTCCATTGTTATATATGTGTGTGTGTGTGTATGTATATATGATCTTTATGAGAGAGAGAGAGAGAGAGAGAGAGATGAAGATGAAGATGGAAGTTGTTGATGAAATGGAAGGAGGGAGGGGAGGGGGTATTTAAAGGGAAACAATCGTATATCCACGAAGGCTGTTCTTTGATGTTAAGTTAAAGTGATAGATATGATGGTGCCTTTTTTTTATTTAGAATTAATGGAGTATTTCAGGGGTTCAATCAGCAATTATTGATGGCAGATTTTTGATTGGATAAGATTATGGTCATGCTAATTTCTTTAAATTGTTGTAGATATTTCTATCGGTTTATTACACAACCTATTTTTATAAATTTCTTTATTATAATATTATAATTTTTAATCCAAAATTACTTAATCTTGTATCACTAGATTCTCATATCAGTTAAAACCATCTCCAAGACTCTAACTGTTGATGGATCGAGAGTAAAACCCATTTACATTCCAATGACACACTAAAAATCAAAATTTGGAGGCCATGAACAATAGGTTGTTGTATTTAACGGTTTTCATACGAAATTGTTAAGCATAATATACCGTGGTTGAAGAGAATCGACGACATTTTTTACGGGTTGATCGAAGATGTTTAATTTTAGACATGAATTGGAATATATATATATATATAAAATAGATTATATGTAGAAAAAAATGGAGAGGGGTCGTTGTTAGCAAAAGTAGTGCCCAAAATGGTGGGTGAAGTTTGCTTGTAGGTGGAGGATCCAAAAAGGCAGTTACTTAGCCTGAGAGGTTTTCTAACCACTCCCACTCCTCCACGTTGTCAACGCCGTTAATTATACCAACAAACCTTCGACCACCCCCACCAATATTTTATTAAAAAATCTCTATTACTTTTTCACCAAACCTACGTTAAGTTTCAAACGAGGACATATTAATTTGTCACAACATTTTTATCACATATGAAAATATATTTGAAAGGACCCAGGTGATGTGTGGATGACATGCCCCATGACTAGGTGACGTCAAAGGTCGTCTATGTCTTTGATTTAATATCACTTCAAAAATACTTTTATCACGTGATAATACATGTGAGGGGACTAATAAAGTGGTGTACAGACCGACTTCACCCACAACCTTGTCGCGCCACAGGTCGACAATGTTTCTGATTTAGTATTACATGTGTATCATATGTGATAGAATATAATATCACATATGATTTGACTATTGGAAAAGAAAGTATTCTTGCATTCTCGTAAAATAAATGCGTTCCTGTTTAATTTGTATTAAAATTCCAAAATCATAACAAATGTCTATCGTTTAGTTTATATGTAATGGGGTGTATGTGTGTGTGTATATATATATATATATATATATATATATGCTCATTCAAGAAAGAACTGATTAGTTTGTAATAACTGTGAGATCTAATCTCAACCACAAATCAACGGATAAATTAGAAAATTAATAATTATGGTAGTTTGAGTTAAAATTATAATTAGAGGACATTTTAGGTATTTTTTAAAAACTTATCTCTCCTTTCTCCTCTCTCCGACCTTCAAGCTCCGGCCTCCGATGAACATTAATCCGGCAGGTACCAAGTAATCACAAAGATACATAATGTGATACTCATTGTGATATACTGTGATACCAACTAAGATACCAACTCAAACCTTAAAAACAAAGATACACAATGTGACACTCATTGTAATACACAATGTGATACCCATTGTGATATACTGTGATACCGATTTCACCGGAGGCCGGAGATTGGAGGTCGGAGAGATGAGAGAGGAGAGATGAGTTTTTAAAAAATACATAATATGCCCTCTAATTATAATTTTAACTCAAACTACCATAATTATTAATTTTCTAATTTATCCGTTGATTTGTGGTTGAGATTGGAACTCACAGTTACCACAAACTATTCAGTTCTCATTTGATTAGACCCCTATATATATATATATATATATATCTATCTATCTATCACGATAACGAGGCTAAACATATAAGAATCTACAAAATTGTGATAATCTTGAGAATCAGATTTGTATCATGTGTAATTTTATATGATTTTTCATCTAAAGCATGGATATAGGGTATTGATTTACATATACTTGTTTCACAATGTGAAACTTTTTGGTAGATTAGTGAAATAAAATATTCAAGTAAATTTTGCTAATTAATATATAGTAAATACTGATCCTAGATAAAAAAATGATGTGAGATAATATTTTTAAAATAAAAGTTCTCACGATTATCATATTGTATATGGGATTTTCATTTGATTACACCTCGCACAATACATTTTTCCAACTCGGTTCTCGAAACTTCGTTTTGACCGTAAAGTTTGTGTTCGAATGCTACTCGATAGGGCAGAGGACACTTTATCTTTTCTAGCCCCCTGTCGAAAATTATATTCCTTCTTAACATCCCTATATATTCACTATATGTCGTTTTCTTTTTTCATATTCTGAAATACCGTATTTACGGAAAGTTTATTGGTTAGCTGTGTATCGAAAAGATAAAAGGAAAAAACCGGAAATCGCAAACATGCAATGTACGAGAGTTCGGACACCAGCTGTTGTGGGCGATTAATATCTAATTAAGGGAAAAAAAGGTCGTATGTAGGTCGTGACCAAAATATGTTTGGGTTGCTTTTTGATGTCATTTCTTGTACAGTAATTGTACCTGGCTTTCTCTTTTCTCCCGAAAGTTGATCCGCTTCATTCGCTTTCTGGTTCCGTGGACAAGATCATGTACTATAACATGTGATGACTATTGATTAAAGGGTGCATGAACATGTACGAGTTTTTGACGTGTAGGTATGTATCGTAGTCATATAAAAGACTGATGAGAACGTTCTTTTTAAAGTACTATTTGTTCCTTTCCGCAAGTAGTAGTAATATTGTTAATTATGTTTATGGTGCTCCATGATTAATTATTTTTCTTAATGTAMGTGATTTTATGTTTCTGTCATTGTAAACGTAAATCAAAATCATTTTTGAAATTATGAAGCTTTGTTTTCTTTTTCTAATGTACATTCAAAATGAAAGTCCGTTTACTTATTAGAACACATTCATAAACGGTGGACGATTGTTGATGTTGTAGAACATATTCAGTACTAAATTAAGACAACTGAAAATATAATGGTCAACAGTGCAATTCGTGTTGTTCCTGGGTTCACTACTTTAATTGTAACGTATAATCAACCATAAGAAATAATAAATACAAGGGTTAAATGCATGAAATAACAACATACTTTCATAAATTTTCTTATTATAACATTATACTTTTGTTTTTCTTTATTACAGCAATGTGCTTTTAAATTATTTTTTATTAAGGCATCACACTTTAAAAAATGTACCCATTATAGCAATGGGTAACCTGTTACCTTTTAAACCGGTTAAYCCTTTGACTTTTTTTGCTTGTGTGGCTTTAATGAGGTGATGTGGATGACACATCATTTTGATGACTTAATTAAAATAAAAATAAAAATAAAAACTTATTTCAAATTATTATTAGTGATTTTCATTTTTCATTGTTATGATTTAAAAAAACATTTAATTTTTTTGACTTTTTCTTATTAAGTTGCATGGAAATTAAATATTCTAGAGTAAAATATTTCTTAAATAAATATGCTACATTATTTTCGAGATATATTTTGTTTGTAAAAAAAATGTAACACTTTTTTTATGTTGTTCAAAAAATACATATCTTTTAAAGTTCTCTATAAAATGTTAATGAAATAAATTGTGTTTTATAATTTTGTTAATATTGTTATATTAATAAATAATTCAAAAAAATAATTAATTTAATATATTTATACGTCAAGTAATTTTTTTGAACAAATATAATATATATTCTTTAAAAGATAATATATTTTTTTGTAAAAAGGGAACAATTCTTATTTTCTTC